ACGCTAAGTAGATGGTTCAAACTACTAAACTGTTTGTGAAAATAGGAAAACCTGAATAATGAAAATTTTCTAAATAAAAAAATAATAATCTTCATTAAGATTGATCGTTGAAAAAGGCATCGCCATTGAGTGCAAGAAATGCAGGCTAAGCTAAGTCTAAATAATAGAATACTAATATAGTCTAATACGTGATAACAGAAAAACTAACTATACATTAGTGTATTGTTCAAATATAAACATAATATGTTGTAGGTACATCCAAAAATTAATCTATTTTGCAAAATGGACTGGCAAGCTAGTTACCGTTGCAACGAAAGCAGATTTTGTGAATTGGAATTCGTTCATATAACAATTATGCGGTAGATATTTATTTAAAAAAAATACTTTATAGGAAAAGATTATTAGAAGCACGTATCCTACCATTAAAGCTGGAAATATTGTTCTGAAATTCATCGGAACAGTTATTATACCCTACAACCATTTATAAACGTTACATTGAAGTAGAAAAAAATTATATTCAACTTATTTTTTTGGTTTATCTACTCACCAGAATGTTAATTATAACACGATTCATGATATCTCGTACAGTCCTTCGGAATCTTTTTACACACAAATCCAAAAGCGGCTTTTTAAAATAACCAAAAGTGTATGGCTTTACAAAGTTGTGATAATTTTTCATTTATGGAATTTTTTTATTCATATCAAATTAATGCACATTTGCTAACCGATTTACTCCAATTCTATCTCGAATTTTCAACAACAAATCTTTAGTAGTTTTTGAGCCTGAAACTGACAGCTGACATAAGTTAGCATACGGAATGGTAGCGTAAGCACTTGTATTGACAATGTTAGCATATTTGGAAAGCTCCAATCATTAATTTGATTTTAAAATCCCACACAGCAACTAGCAAAAAAGTGAAGCCAATTGATCTTGAGCTTTATAATAACAAATAAAGATTTTTGGTTGAGTCTCAAATAAAAATAAGACACCCTGAAACCTCTAGAATCTTTGGTATTCCACGATTTCTACCGATTTCGCTTGATTGTTTAAGCTTGAGTGGTTCATTGACTTTCGGTTGCTGAAGTAGGCATCCCATCATAATGTATTAGCTATCGAAATCTTTTGTTTAAAAAGAATTTAGTTCTGTAGACCAGCCACATATTATGACTATTTTAGCCTGAAATTATTCTCCTACCTTTAAACTAAATCAGTTAAAGTGACATGGAATGTTTCATGGCTTATAATAAGTTTTCCTATCAGTTTTGATTGGTTCAAAAGTCCATATATTTAACAGAAATCAGCACAATCTGTCGGAGGCTCAATATCTCCGTTGATTTTGATTAATAATTGGTACAAGATGGGGATGGAATGTAGTCACATAGAACTACTGGAATGTAGACACATTGTGTGAAGAACTTGGCTGAATGCTGAATTCTGAATGCTGATTTACACAAACCACACCTAATCATTTGAGCCTTATTGCTAAATGTTCTTAAAGCCCTATCGTTTTACAAACCAAAAGCCGATTGCTCCTACATTCAAATTAAAAGCCTTAAGCTTTTACCCCAAACGTGAAGGAATGCTGAATGCTGAATGTTGAGTGCTGATGTGGGGAAGTGCAACGTGGCGAGTATCATTAGGGGTGTTTAATTGCTGACGCATTGTAAGCAGAACCCTCGACTGTGCGTCTAATTGTAATCACAAGGCAAATACTCCCTTGCCTTTGTTTGGACTTGGCCGCTCGATATAGCCATCGTCTATACCCTCGGGTCAATTTGTCTTGCAGTTGAATGGGATTTAGATTTTATATTGTCACTAATGAAGATACTGTGTAGCTTACAGGAGAACGGTTATAGGAGAAGTGACATCCCAAAAAGATCATTTCTAAAAAGATTTTTCCAGGGAAATTTTGCATGGAAAAGTTAACTTTGGGTAATTTATTTTGGGAAATAGTAACGTTATATTGCTCTAATAGTATATTTTTTATAACTAGGGATTAAAGTGACTCTTATTGACTAGTGCTCAGGTTTTACAAAATGAACGAGGGTTGAAATAGTATATTTTATCACTAGAGCCTAAAGTTACTCTTTTCTACACGAAGTCAAGTTTTACGATCGAGGCGAAGCCGAGGTCGGAAAATGAGCGAGGTGATCAGCTATATTTTTCGTCATATTGCACCATTATTTGAACAAACTATGTTACAAAACTAAATAGTTTCCTTTTAAAGTACCTAACCTCTAAAAACTACTTTTAATTCGTTTCAATTTAATTTGCTAATGGAAACAAGCAATATTTTAGTAAATAATTCAATCGGTTCGTCTATTACGATTGATGTAGTGCAATAAGGCAACAATAAACTACACTCGATTGTACAATCGATACATACTTTCGATACATTGCAATTCTAACTACACCAAAACTAATCAATTCGGTTGGTAAATAATGGAGAACATTCATTTTTACTTCCTTAACCTGTACTGTTTTCGTAAACATTTTTGAATTTCAGTTTTGGTTGGGGGTTTCCGTTTTGGACCCCCCCCCCCTGAAGATAATAAGTGGTATTCAAAGTGATGTCTGTGGGTATGTGTATGTGGATGTGTGTGCGTGTGTGTGGATGTTTACAGGGCTTTTACAAGTACAAAAGTAAAAACTACTTAAATGCCTACATTTAATTATACGATGATGATTGAGTATTTTTGCAAAAAGGGTAAGGTCCTTACTATCACATACACAATTAATCACCATTAATACATTTGTTAAGTAGTTTACAAACACAAACTATTGATTACTTTGCATTTTGTAGTTTTTTTTCATTCTTTTGCCAATATTTATGTAGAAAACAGAGTAGTTGTAGTTAAAACCTCCCCTTCTAGGATAGTAACACAGAAGTTGGGTGCCAAGTCAAACAGGACGAAGGGAGTATACATGTATTGGTCTGACAAACCTGCGTTGAATCTCTTCAGTGACTTCCTCACAGATGGATTCTTGCTACAGTACAACTCACGACTGAGCATTATTGCCAGTCTTTTTGTTTTGTATTTTATACACGCGATAATCACAATCGGTATCATCGTGGAAAGATTTGACATAATAATTGAAAATAAAGCCTGGACGGGTCCTAAAGGTTTGAAAATATCACTTTCTTCGTAGTCTATAAGGAGGATCGTTGGCAAGTACATGATGTTTATCAATATTATTTTCACAAGCTGATAGTAGTAAAACTGGTTTTTGGATAAGCAATAATTTCTTGCCTTTAAAAACATTCCTAGCTCTTGATTGCTCGCCTTTGAATTCCGAGTATGTACAGTGGTTTGGCTTTCTGCATCTAGCTCACAAAACCCTGGTGGAACATTGACTGGTGATGCGATGTGAAAAATGTTTAAGTTCTCTTGGATGAATATGTTTTCTGAGATGATTTCAAGAAGTTCATACTCATCGAAGCAAGCCAAAGTTGCACAGTAAGTGATCATCCACATGTTTGGTGATATAATTGACCTCAGGATAGAATATACAGTCAAAGCAGGATTATCTAACAAGGTAAACTGCCCGGTTTCTACTAAAGATTTTACTGTATATATTTCATCTTGGAGTGCAGCAATAAGATACATGATGGAAATAAAACATTTTGTACAATCTGTACAAAAGCTCCTCTTGAAGAACCCACTCTTCGTTATCTTTTTAAGAACATCTGCTTTGCAAAACATGTCATTCAAGTCTTCAAGTTTCATAGCTACCTCTGCAGTTCCCAGAAGACAAATAAAATTGTAAAACAAATAACTGAATCTGGTATATTTGGATCCAACGTCCTTTAGTGAGCTCCATCCTTGTATCGTCAAATATAAATCTGTTAAGAAACAATATAAGTTGCATGACACTATAAATACTGAAAATATCCTTTGCTTCAAAGATAAAGATGATCTGTTTCTGGTGTTAACAAGAGCTCCAAATGGGACAAATAGTATTTTACTAATATTTGTGTAAAAGGACTCTTGGGTTACTGTCATGCTTTAGTGTTGTTGGAAGAATGTCTTTCCACTGTTTGGCTAGTTACTTAGGAAACGTTATACTCTTGAGTTAATGTACCCGCAGGGTCAAGTATTCATATTGAATTGACATTTCAAGGTGATATTGTACAACAATTCACATTACAACACATCAAACTATCAACACATCATCACAAATATTGATTTTATATGAATATTTTTTTAAATACAATAATTTTAGAATTTGCATGAATATATACAGGTTTAATAGTAATGAATTAAAATGCAAATCGACTTCTAAACAAATAACTATTTCAACCACCCTATATACGTAATTTGGAGAAATTATTGTTTTCGTCAAAATTTGCAAGTTTGAGGTGGTCCAATTTAAGTATGTGGGTACAGTACTAATCCATGTTATCTGAAGAGTTTCTTAAAGTTCTTTACAAATTTTAAAAATTTAACTTTTATTTTTCTGTTAAAACTCATAATAAATCCGGAAAATCGGATAAACAACTACTCAACCGATTTAGATTAAATTTTAGTACGTAATGGTACTTATAATTCCCAATAAAATGGCTTTACCTCCATTGCTGTAAAAAAAAACTGTTCAAATGTTATTGCAGCTTTAACGCTTTCCCCCATTAAATATCATAGTTACTCCCCACCGCTTATCTGTAAGAGCTGTTGACAAGCCAATGGAGAAAATAGGTGTCGTTTATTAATTATTGCTAATATCGTTTATTTAACATACTGTGCAGAGTGCACACTGCACACTGCACACCAATATAGTATTGTGTGCTCATTAAGTAACTGCTGATCGTTTAAGCTAACTAGTAGTTTCCCTGTTAGCATATGTTTTATTTACATTTTATTTCTAACATGTGTTCAAATTATTATTTTGTTTACTTATTGAATTGTTATGTTTACTTACAGATTGAGATTTAATAAAAACTTACCTTCTATTTTCTTATACAAAATGTGAACTTTTATTACTAAAATTAGTGGAATCAACAATGGCGACGAGTAAAATGGTAAGTAGAAAAGAATTTGACTTATGTCTAAAGAAAAGGAAATTACTAGAACTACGCTTGATCAAACTCAAGGATGATTTACCAACATGTGAACATTCTCAAGATACATGCACTTACTACACAGATAAACTTTTAGCAATATGGGCTGAAATTGAGGTTACACAGTCAAATATTGAACTTCACACAAATTCAGTAGAAAGTGAATTAGAAATTCGATGGCAGTTAGAAGAAATATATAGAGAGATACGGACATTCCTTGAAGCAGAAAAGAAAAAGTACAAAACACATACAGCAATTTCTGCTTCTGCAACATGTCAAAATGTATCTAATATTCCTTTCCAGCCGTATACACCAGAGGAAAGTTTTCAAAACTTCACTCGACGCTTTGAAAACTACACAAAATTACGGGGAAACTTAAGTCCAAGAGTCAAAGTGGATTTATTTTTACAGGCAATCACCCCACAAATACATGAACAGCTATACGATCTTTGCATACCAGATGACCCACACAACAAGCCATATGAGGAATTGATTCACATGTTAATGGCTCAACTAGAACCAAAACCCAGTATTTGGGCACGTCAGCACAAATTTACGACACGTACCCAATTGTGTAATGAATCTGTACAAGCTTACGCTAATGCTCTTAGAAAGCTCAGTGTAGAATGTCAGTTTACTTGTACAAGTTGTAATGAATCTGTATCTGAAATTCTACTTCGAATGCAGTTTGTCAGGGGATTAAAAGACTCTGATATACGTCTTCAACTTCTTCAAGATAAACTATTGCAACCGTTTAAAGAAGTAGTCGAAAAGGCTGCTACATTGGAACTAGCGAAAAGTGAAAGCAGAATAGTAAAGACAAATGAAAATCAAGAGGAAGTACACCAAGTATCAAGCAAGAACAAACAGCCAGATATGAAACCTTGTAAATCTAACAATATACAACTCTCTGAGTATCAAACTCGATTGGAGAAACTGAGAAACAAATGCTATAGATGTGGTGATGATTCACATAGAGCACATCAATGCAAGTTCAAAAATGCAGAATGTAACTCTTGTAAACGTTTTGGTCACTTAGCAAGAGTATGTCTAAGAAAACCAAACAAAGAAGTAAAACAATCAGATGAAACCGCAGAAAATACAAGCGATGATGACACTCATGAAATTTACCAACTTCATTCAAAATCAAATGACAAGTTTATGCTCGAGGTAAAAGTGGAAGGACGACTCATGACATAGAGTACAGGCAAACTGCTCATCATTGCAATGCAGATTATCTCTCTCGATTCCCTATCGAAGTTGTACAAGAACATTCTGTGGATGACCTCTCGAAGTACCACATAAATCAACTGGAAACACTCAATATCAACAGTACCGTGGTGGCTAAGGAAACTCTCAACGATGCTGTTTTGGGTCCAGTCCTACAGGCCTGGAAATCAGGACAATCTGTTGAACAATACGGATTTCACGATAACGAGCTGTCCATTCAAGATGATTGTGTACTGAAGGGCTGGAGAGTCATGATACCTCAATCTCTCAGACCTCATGTGCTTCGAGAACTACACGTAGCTCATTTAGGAGGAATAAAAATGAAGGCTTTAGCTCGCAGTTTTTGCTGGTGGAAAAGTATAGACAAGGATATTGAAGATATGGTAACTGAATGTCGGCAATGCATTGAAAAATGCAACAACCCGAGGAAAACTATCCATCCATGGGAACAACCTTCTAATCCATGGGAGAGGGTGCACATTGATTTCTTAGGACCAACAGATGGCCAACAGTACCTGATATTAGTGGATGCCTTTAGTAAGTAGGTGGATGTGATACAGGCGAAAACAACTACAAGTACATGGACAGTCCAAGAATTACGGAAAATCTTCTCAACTTTTGGGTTTCCTCACATCTTAGTTTCAGATAATGGAAGACAGTTTGTTTCTCAAGAGTTCAAAAACTTCATGAATGAATGTGGGATTATTCACAGAACAACGGCACCATACCATCCAAACTCAAATGGCCAGGCTGAAAGGTACGTGCAGACTGTCAAGAAGGCGTTAAAATCCATGGAGGGAGAAAAGGGTACACTGCAAAATAAAATCCAAAGACTTCTAATGCAACTCAGGCAATCCCCGAATTCAACAGGTACATCAGCATATCACCTAATGTTTGGAAGGAGTGTACGAACAAACCTAGCAATAATTGTTCCAACATTAGAACCGAACAAATATCAGAAGAAGGGAGTCCAAGTCGGTATAAAAAGGAATTTCAAAGTTGGAGATAAAGTGCAAGCGCGGGAATATGTCAATGGTTCGTCCAAGTGGTATTCGGGCTATATAACTCAAAAGCAAGGACATGTAATGTACGTAGTTCAGCTGGAAGATGGACGAATAATAAGAAGACATGTTGACCAGCTGATTCTTCGTAAAGTGCCGCAGCACAGTAAATAGAGGAGGAGGTGTTAGCTTATGTTTTATTTACATTTTATTTCTAACATGTGTTCAAATTATTATTTTGTTTACTTATTGAATTGTTATGTTTACTTACAGATTGAGATTTAATAAAAACTTACCTTCTATTTTCTTATACAAAATGTGAACTTTTATTACTAAAATTAGTGGAATCAACATTCCCAAAGACCATAGGATGTTGTTAGATACGCATCTTAAAAACGAGTATTTCTTCCTTTATTTATGAACCAATTTCATAAAGTTTTTCATTGTTTGAGGCACAATAAAATTTTATAAATAATATTACGGTAGTTTTGTTTACCCATGTGGTTTTAATGTTTTGGAGTTTAAAAATCTTAAATGACCTCCAATTAAGAAATTAACACGATTTTTTCCTTTAATGGGTCTTTTGTGACATAAATCTACGTATTAAAGTCAATTAAATTACAAAAAATGGCTGATGCATGGGTAAATTTTCGATTTTTTTTTTTAATTTCTTAACTTGATAATTTAATTCCTCTTTGATCCAGGAATGAACCAAAGGTAGATTGAGGGTTCGGGAACACTCTGTATACCTCAGCTTATCGCTGAAAATATTGGTCAATGCGGTGTCAGAACGGGGGGCCACCAGCTTTACGTAAAGAATTTTAACAGAATGGATAGTTGTACGACCGTCTGACGACGGCCAATGAGGAAACGCAGCTGCGGACCAATCAGATAACGGCTTGGTATAGAACCTGTCAGACTAGTCAACTACTATTGTTATATAAGTCAAATGGACAACCTAGTGGTTACTCAAGTGATAAAATAGTGCATGCAACATCTACCAAACTAGCGATGTTTAGCTTCAAACCAATATTCTACCAACCCACAGTAAAAGTCAGTAAAAGTCTGATTAAGGAGACACTTTTAAGGAACCGTTTGACGAAAAGCCTCGCTGTCTACGAACCCTAATTCCCTTCCCCTGTCTGTAGCGTATTATGCTGGTGCTGAAGTAATTGTTCACGCTTGTAGGCAAAGCTGTGCCACGTGTTTCGTGATTGAGATGAGAAAGTAGATATTGCCCTCGTTCGTTAAGGTTCAACCCTAGTTGATCGAAAGTTCCTTGAAGAGGGGTCAGGTTTTATGTTAGGAGCTTTCGGGTTATAGTCTGTATGATGTCTTCTGACTCCGTCTACCCATTGGCCCGGGCTAGTCCCAAGTAGACCGGGACCAGGAGACAGGTTCCGTCAAACTGACTATAATAAAAAGTAGGACGCATTCTAACAATTTATTTGCAGCAAAATGGTTTGAATTGATTGGAGGCAAATATTGAGGATAACCGTGAGCAAATGTGCAGTTAAATTTTAAGATTGGTGTTGAATTTAAAATGGAAGTTTAAATTTATTCTTGATTTATTTTACACAACCCGTAAATCGATCGTAAATACGGACAGTGTTTAATAGGATGCTGAATAGGAAAGATTATAGATTTCAAAACATTTATCTAGATGATTTGCAACTGCACTATTAAAGTGGGTAAGATGCATAGTTGATCATCATTGTTTACATTCAGGTCGATTTTACAAACATATAAGATACAACAGATCAAACTGAGTAGGCGTAAGTGATAATCTAGGATGGTCATATTTGAGGTAATTTTCACCACTGATTTGACTTTATATTTTACTCAAATAGAAGGTTTCTAATATTTCATTATATTAAGAAAGTACTGCGTCGTATGTATAAACATTATACAGCAATAATATACATATACACTACATAAGTACCAATGAAGTTTCTTTAATTCATTTCAAATATGATTACTCTTAGGGATAACAAGGAAAACTCCAGAACCACTGGGGTGGAGCCCAAAAGGATTTTTTTAGATGATAATATATGGGTATATGAGCTATAATCATGCCAAATTTCAGCCCAATCTGACCGGTAGTAAATGCGTGATTGAGCCCCAAACAAACTTGCAAACTAACTTTAAAATTTACAATATTAGTATGATTAGTATTATTAGTATGACCCATGATGGAGATGGGACACCTAAGTGCGTATTTTAACCCAAATGAGTGTAGAATGGTGTGATGAGATGAATAGTGTGGCTTTGTTCCTGACTAAGACCAGCTGTTTCATTGCCTAGGTCCATTTAAATGCTCAATTCTCGAGGACAGCTGGGTCTACTTTTTTTAATTGTTTTAATCGTAATTAATTTTTTTAATTTTTTAATTTTGTTTTTTTTTAATTTTTTAATTTTGTTTTTTTTTTAATTTTTTAATTTACTATTGTCAGGATGGAACCGGCGACCTTCAAGTTATTAGACGAGCACTATGACTTTGCAGATACCCAGTGATATTTTATATTATGTAATATACCATAATGTACATTGATTGACATTTTTATAAAATGTAATAATTATAACCAGCATTTATGATTTTTTAAATTGATTTTTTTCTTCACACAACAAACATTCCTGACTGGACACATTAACTACAAATACGTTCAATGTTTGACGTCAAAATCACTGTTGAATGTTTGAAGGGCGAAGAGGCGACGTGGAAGAATGAGTCACCGTGAGACCCTTTCATTTTACATATCGTTGAATAATTATGATTCGCCTGTTAGGATCAGTCATCCGTGCTTTCTCCTGTAAGCTTCCCCCACTCCGCCCTTTCATCGTATGAATTATCAAATGATGATGGAACGTTCTTTATACTCAGTAAGACTTCTAATTGGTTTCTAACGTGAGAGTTGCGCGGTGTATGTTTCATGTGAAACCAGCAACATGGCAAAACGATAAAGTTTTTTTATGTGTAATTTAAGGTTGTGTTTTTTTTTTTTTTTATTCGTCTTTGATTTCCTTTTTTATTTATAGTGTGTTCACAGTGAAAAGTTTTTGATGTTTACAAAGTTGCATTATATTTGGATTTTCTCGTTAAATAAAAACCTTGTGTTTACAACTTAAAGAATAAATTTGTTCTTAAGAACTTTTTTTTGTTTCTGGATTATACAGGGTCGAAAAAAAATCCATTGTCATAATCTTTTTGTTTTTGCTTTTCGTACAGATACAAGTTTAAGACAATAATTTGAATATCAAGTGGTCAATACTTTTTTAGTGTCTTCAAACAGTACCAGTGGTCTGTTGGTAACCTTTGGGATATTATTTGTCCACTTTTTCCATAGAACATTTAACTAACTACGGTAATTAGATTTTTATGGAAATACAATTATTTATATGAAAAAAAATGAAAAGTAATACCCTTTACGTTTTTGAAAATAGATGATTAATAAAACGGGATAAATTTAATATCCTTAAATTGGTCTATTTGTAGATTATTTACATATCTTATCATATCATCTCTACTCTAACACTAAACCCGTTAAGGAGCCTAACAGGCTTTAGGTATCTTGTATGTACCTTATCTGGTGGCTAGATGGCCAAGTATGGTATACATTTCAGCCAACTCCCTACATATTCTGAGTGGACTGGGCTGAATAAATACATATTCTTTAGTCAAGCTGGTGGTACTGACACATTGATGTTTTATAACATGAGACTGGCCTTATGCCGAACTGGTTTGTGTTCTATAATTATGATTGAAGAATTTATAAAATGATGCTTTCAATAGTACATTTTTTCTTAGGACGGCACGAGCACGGAATTGTTTTTATATTACGTCAGGCTAGACCTAGGGGTTACTGGATCTATCACTAAGGTCAAATACATTGGTGACTTGACGGGATTTGAACCCGGGACCTCAGAGACCGAAGTCCCACCGTCTAACCACTAGACCAGCTCGCTCCACGATATTACATACTACATTAGTAGTTGTAACAATACCAAAATAATTGTTTGCATGCTTTACGTTAAACGGTTAATTAATTTTGGTTAACGTCTATTGATTAAAAAATGTATATTCTATATTGCTCCAATTATTATATTTTATAACAGCTTATAAAGGTCACCTTAATATTCAAAAAATGCACTTACAAAGTGTTTCGGTTCTTCATGAAACAGTAAGTTCATAAAACCTTCAAAAAATTTAAACATTTATTTTTAACAATACCAAACAGTAACAAACAGAACGTTACTGTAGATTAATGGATTTTCATATTTCGTCCGTTTAATAGATATTGGAATAAATAAATAATATTGGGGGAATTGACTACTAATTGAGTGTCACGGATATAATTGTCAAGATAGTTTGTTTTAAACAGTGGTTAAAAATATACTTGCAGAATTTTATTTCGAACATAATTGTGATTAAAACAAATAAGCCATAAGAAAAATTCAACTTTAGGCAATTCGGAATTAATCCTTAAAATTGATAACTTTAGAAGCAGATAAACGAGTTAACACACGAACACCATAAAACAACTTGACACGTTTTAAAATTGCAGGAAACCAGTAAAAGTGGCGGAAAGGCACTGGGAAGAATAAATGTAAATTTATGATGTTTAGTTAGCATTTCCCGAGTTTTAAAAGGTTTCCAAGTTATTTAATCCGGAAGGGTGGGTCCCCGAACTGCGGGTAGTATGCTGGCGTGGCAGGCACTCTTTCATTGGGGGGTACCACTATCAATCTTTAAAACAATTCCGAATTCAACAATAGTTTCTGAAAATGTTGTTACACGTAGGTAAAATACCCAAAGCTACCATCATCGTCATGTTTTCCAAGACGATCGTGGTGGTTTTTTATTGGGAGTAATACTTTCTTATTTATGTAACTCTCCATGAAAATAGAGATACCAAAATCACAACTTCTTTCAATACCTTTGGTTTGAAACTTGGGTAAAACTGTACACTGCATACAAAACATTGCTCCATTCACCTTAAGTAAAATCTGCCTTAAGTTAATTTATGTTGAGTTTATCGCAATTATTAATTCAAGAGATTCTTGTGGATACATAAGGACGTTTATGAATAAGTAAATAAGAATCAAACTGTATACACGACAACCTTATAGAGTAAAACGATAGGACAATATATTGGATTAAACGGGAAGCCGAGTAG